AAAGAAAGAATGAGAGAGAGAGAAGGAAAGGAGGAAAAGAGAGGAAGGAAGGAAGAAAAGGGAAAGAGAAAGGGAAGGAGAAAAAGAAAGAGGACAAAGAGATGGGGAGAGGGAGGAAGGCTCTCCCACACACCCAATCAAGCCCCACCACCACCACCCCCTTGGATCCCTCACTTACCGCAATCAAGGCTTCAGCGTGGGCCCCGGGAGGCTGGAGACAGGCCTCCTCAGGCCTCCCATGTGCCGCAGCACTTCAGCGTGGGCCCCGAAAGCCTGGCAACGGGCCTCTTTAGGCGCGGGGAGCTGGGGGCAGGGCTTGCCACCGCCACCATTTCTGCCAGCTCCTGGGGTGCCGGAGCAGTACTCCGGCCCCAAATGACCCCTGGTTCTAACTTCCAAACCTCTCTAAGGGAACATTTTTGATACTTTCAGTGTAAAAGGGGGAAATTCCCCTCTACAATGCACACAAAGAATTTCTTTCCAAGCTTGCTCATCCCCTTAAAAACGTTTTTTTAATTATTTCCATAATCTGATGCCAACACCCTTCCCTCCCCCAGTCTCTGTCAAGAGAGAAATCATCTTAGAGGAAAATTCCAGCTAAATTCTCATCTCATTGCACTCTGACTGCTCTGCAGGTGTCAGCTAAAACCCCCCCCCAATAGGCAGTTACTCGCCAAAGTCATGCCAAAAGCCTGTACATTAGTTCACACAGTTCAGATGTGAAATTGGGATGGGAAGCTTGCTCCTACCCAGAAAGTTCCATGGAGACAGCCCTGTGATTAAGAACATAAGAGACGCCAATGTTGGATCAGGCCAAAGGCCCATCCAGTCCAACACTCTGTGTCACACAGTGGCCAGAAATACCAGTGCCATCAGGAGGTCCACCAGTGGGGACAGGACATTAGAAGCCCTCCCACTGTTGACCCCCCCCCAGCACCAAGAAGACAGAGCATCACTTGCCCCAGAGCCCCTATCTATACCTTGTGGCTAATAGCCACTGATGGACCTCTGCTCCATATGCTTATCTAATTCCCTTTTGAAGCCATCCATGCTTGTAGCCGCCACCACTTCCTGTGGCAGTGAATTCCATGTGTTAATCACTCTTTGGGTGAAGAAGTACTTCCTTTTATCCGTTCTAACCCGACCACTCAGCAATTTCATTGAGTGCCCACGAGTTCTTTTTTTTTTAATGAATTTATTTTCATTTTTCATCATAACATAAACAAATATATACATATTCCAACATATATCAATCGTCTATCTTCTTTAACATTATTTGTCTTTAGCTAGCCTAATTTTCATTCTATTACATCTTCAGCCAGTCATATATTCTTTCCCATCTTCCCCAAAAAGACTCTTCCGGTTTGTTTTGTAGTGTTGTGTTTAATTTGTCCATTTCTGCTACCTCTAAGATTTTATATTTAAGTTCTTTTATAGATGGTATACTTTTTGTTTTCCAACGTTTAGCTATTAATATTCTAGCAGCTGTTAATATGTATACAATTATATGCGTATGCTCCTTTACTGTATCTGGTAACATGTTTAGTAGATATAATTCTGGTTTTAAAGGAATATTAATTTGTAGTATTTCAATCAATAATTTATGTATTTTTTCCCAGAACCTCTGGATTTTGTCACATCTCCACCATATGTGGAGATATGTGCCTATATTCTTCTTGCATCTCCAGCATACATTAGATGCCTTCGGAACACACCTTGCAACTCTTTCCGGAGTCCAATGCCACCTGTAACACATTTTATAAATATTCTCCTTATATGGCATTGCTCTCATGTATTTTAATGTTTTCCAAGCTTTTAACCACTGGCTCATTTCTATCGTGTGTCCTAAATCCTGAGTGCCCACGAGTTCTTGTATTGTGAGAAAGGGAGAAAAATACCTCTTTGGTTGGGAAAATCAGAAGGTTATGGCCAGCAGTTTCTATCTAATACAGACTATGGTAGACAAAACATCCCCTTCTTATCCCCTTTCCTCCACCTGCCCACCCTTGATGCCTGAAGATACTCTCTGTATGCTCTGTAATTATGCTTTAGCTGTAAGAACCAGTGCTGCTGCTATTAGGAATAAGTAAGCTGTGGTGGTTCAAGTGGTTAAGACGCTGAACTGCAGGCTGTGGAAGGTCAGTAGTTCAGCAGTTCGAGACCCGAGTTGCCACATGATGGAGTGAGCTCCCATCTCTAGTTCCAGCTCCTGCCAACCTAGCAGTTCGAAAACAAGAAATTGCAAGTAGATAAATAGGTACCACTTTGGTGGGAAGGTAACAGCGTTCCGTGCGCCTTGGGGTTTAGTCATGCCAGCCACATGACCACGGAAACATCTTCGGACAGCGCTGGCTCTTCGGCTTTGAAACGGAGATGAGCACCGTAACCCTAGGGTCGGACTTGACTGGCTTTCGAGCAAGGGAACCTTTACCCTTAAGCAGACAGTAAGTTAGGTTTGTTATTTTATGTACGTTAAGACTCCACTGAACTATATGCTTTATTTTTAAGAACTTTTCTTGAATTTCTTCAATAAAGCTTTTTTGCTTTGCTTTGTGTGAATTACTGAGGAGCGACTTGAATCAATCGTAAGCTTGGTTATGTCACTGCACCAAGGCAGGGTTAGCCTTCACAGTCTCAGCAAAAGGGTATAAAGAGTTACCCGTCAGCCCCTTTTTTTGTAGCTGGTTTGGACTCATTAAGTTACTCCGATTTCACGGTTGGCCTCTTCCCTCTTCCTGCCACAGACCCGCTTTGCAGCATTTTCTTCTCCTGCCTGGTCAGTTTCATGCTCCTGATGCAGCTTCATTGCCACTGAGGGCAACCCCCCCCTTCTCCCCAAGATCAGGCTCCTATGTCTTGTTTTGTTTTTAACCTGATTGTGAATGTTGTTACTTGGAAATGTTGTCCGTCATCCCGTTCCCCCCCCCCCATTCTGAGCCCTGTGCACAGGGGAGGGCGGGTTATAAATTGAAGTAAATAAATAAAGTGTTTCCCCCCCTCTCAGTTTTATTTCCCCATAGGGAAAAGTTTGGGGTTGTTTTACCATTACATTCCTCCCCCCTTTCTGTAAACTTCCATTTTTCTCTGCAAACTGCTTAATTTAATTTGGTTCCTTGTCCATTAAATAAAAAACTTTTCTGTTTAAGAAGATTATTTCTTCTTTTTCTTGCTACTGTTGGTCAGAATCTGGACCTTGGTATACACAGGTTAAGATCCCAAATACATTTTAAAGTACCCATAATAACCATATTTGCTTTGTGCTAGCAAGGGGATGCCTTTGTCTGTTACGGGACCTTCACAAGTGTGCCGATTTTGGTAACATGGCTCAGGTGTAAGATCTCCTGCCTCAGGGAAGATCTTTGGACTAGATGCTAGATCATCTCAAACTGTGATTCTATTAGTAGATTATAGGCAGTAGTTGAAAGGTGGCTCATGTGCAAGGAAACTACTTTCCTAGAAGGCAAACCTACTCTTTGTGAAACAGTACTCAAAAGAAAGGTCTCCTAGTATGAACCCATGGATCACCTAAAGTCAGACCACAAGACTCTGTTAGCTGTCCTCCCCCCATATCCACCCCCGTGCAAGACAGTCTGACCTAATGCAATTGCCTACCACAGTCTTTTTCTTGCATTTCACCCCACACAAGAGCTCTAGCGCAAGTAGAAGTTTTGTGCTGGATCCAATCCATCATCTGCAAAGTATTTTTCTCAGTGGGTACTTCAGAATCATCTCCCAGAGGAGGTGATGAGTTTGGAAAGATGACTAAGTTGTAAAACCTTATTGGCCTGCCAAGACTAGAATGTCTATTGGTTTGTACGCTGGACCATGGCATACTCTCATGTTTTCTTATTTGTTTTGCAGTAGTTTTAGATGAACTGGTTTCAATTATTGATATTGTAAGCAACCTTGTATTTATGAATTGATGGGATGTAAATGTTTAAAAGAAGCAAAGCTGTCCATCTTGACAGCTTTCCCACAAGTATATTACTGTGTGTGCATGGCATCCCCACACATCTGCATTAACTACTGCGTTGTCATGCACGGAATACAATCTTCATAACAATAAAAATTCTCCAGAAGGTCATGGGTTCCCACCTATATTCCACATGATAACTCTTCAATATAAGAGCAAATGATTTCTGTATGTATATCAATATTAGATCGTACCTTTTCTCAGTGAACACAAGACACATACAAGTCCCTAAACAATTCATCTGGAAAAACTGAGCTATCAAGATTCCAAGCCATGTGTGTAATCCACACTTATATGTACTGTGGGAGATGCCACAATTATGTTTGCTACATAAAACATGGAGGTGATAGGTAAGTTTTAACCACAGTAGCTGCTAAAGGTAATGCTCTCATTCTAAAGAAAGAAAGAACAGTATTTATCACTATAAATAATTCTCCAGAAGAAATGGAGAACAGAGTGAAACATGAATAAGAACCTATAGCTAAAGATAATTCAAGACACGGGATTGGATCTAGCAGAGCATTTCCATGGATGGATTTCTGTCCATGGCGCATGACTTTCTCCCCTTCTACTACAGCCCCAAATGCTCCCTTTCCCTGAGAAAACAGGGGACTCTCAGGAACAGGGTGAGGGGGGCATTTGGGGCTGCAGTGAGAGAAGGGAGGCAAGAAAGTCACTAGCAGAAATGCTCTGTTGGATCTAACCCACAGTGCACAAGTCTCAAGGCAATCTAATCCAAAAGCTGCAACTATCACCATCACAACAGCATGAATACAAAACACATACAGCATACTTACGCACAAAAAACACAGCTTTCTGCTCACGAGCTATTACCATGAGATCATTTGTTGGCGACAAGGATACAACACAGTCCAGAAGCCAGGAACTTGCCTGTGTCTTGGAAGCAGATTCTTCTTCTTCTTCTTCTTCCTGCACACAGCAATTTTTAAAGCTACTAATTTTCAGAAGCACATTTATAACTGTTCCAAAAATATCCATCTATACAAAAAAATAGCTTTTGAGGAAACCACAAACAAGAATATTTTCATGGTATTATGACTTCCTCCATGCAAAAGCTACCAAATAAGTTATACCCAACAACAGGAAAGGAAAGTTGCATGCAACAAGATGCCATGTCACCATGTAAACTGGATGTGTGAAACTAAGTACACTTAACTGCAGTGTTCCTACAGGAATTATTCCAATTATTCTGAGAAGCACTGGAGAAAGGAAATTCATCTACAGAGTGCACAATTAATCATGAAAGCGAAAAAGACAGACTTACAGGTTCTTGCGCTTGTCCTCCATCATCCCAGGCTCCCCAATCATTTTCCCAGTTTGCAGCTTTACCTAATATGAAAGAGTAAAATATTGTAGCTTAGTTTAGCATTTGCAAATCATAATGTATAGGCTCGTGTGAAAAGCTGCATTTCAGTGCCCATGAAACTGCGATAAGCAATTAAAGTTAAAGCAAGAAATAGTCACCAGGCTTAAATAATAACATACAAGAAACCCTTGGCTGAAGATCAACTTCCAGCTAAAAAGTCTGAAAGCACATGAAGCTGCACTTGAAGGTTATCCCAAGGGACAGGTATGGCAGAAAGCTGTGACTCATCACCAGATCAGGAAGGAAGGGTTCTTGCTGAGATCACAGCAACATAATTACACATAATTACATAATTTGTGATCTATCAAACAGCCCACCAGCCATAATCTTTGCAGTCAAAGGCAGACAGCAAAACCACAAAATTCATCACACCCTTTTGTGGGCTAACACAGGCTGCATTCAACTTCGTTGGATAAAAGCTGTTCAGATCCACACTGCAGTCTATACTGGCTTCCTCATGGCCTTCCTGCCACATGCAAGGTCCCAGCTGAAATTTCAGGATCCTTAGAGATTTCTGCAACATGCAGAACCCACTTCTGAGTTTACATTTTTTAATTACACTGAACAGTAAGTAGCTTCTTCCATTTCTGTTTTCTTACCTCCATTCAGGCAACTGATATACCACAACTGACTAACACTTTGGATAAAAATAGAGCTGAATAAACTTCTGCCAGGAAAAAGAGGAATACTGGCCTCTAACAGGGTTTACCATACCCTTTTTCTCTTTGAAAATTGGTTTTGAACGTTTTGGATTTTTAGTGTCAACTGTCAAGATGTATTTTTCTGTCTTCAGTTTTTGTTCAAAACAGATCCTGTGGCCACAATGAGCTACGTGGACAGGAACAACTAGCTAGCCAGCTGAACTGCAGTAGAGGTACTGTGCCTCTTTCCAGTTGTTCTGATCAGGTACTGGGCTATCCAGTCAAATAAATTCAGGGATTACATTAAAATGCCCACAACAAAACCCAAATAAAATTGTATAAGCAAAATTTGAAATTTTAATGCAAGTTATATGCTACAATAATTTCATGAACGTCTCTCAACAAAAAGATTTTAGGTAATTCTGATTAGCTTAGGAAACTTGCATTAGCCTGAAACATAAGAACTAAAGTCAGTGCATGTACTGGTTTTACCTCAGAAATTTCAACCCCTGATTTCACCTGACCTTTCCCCTCGATGCTGAATAAAATATTTTGTTAATTTGGAACATAAAAACATCTCGAGTGCCATTAAAGTTAAAGGGGCTCCTGATCCTTCCCCTCAGGTTCCTGGGCTAAAAAAACAGCCAAACATTATACTTTGACAGGGTGGGACAGCCAGAGTTCTTCAGCAAAGAAGAAAACACATTACTAGGGTGGTTCAGTCAAATAGGGATGCCAGCCTCCAGGTGTGACCTGGGGATCCCCTGGAATTACAGTTTATCTCCAGGCTACAGAGATACCTTTATTTAAAACTACAATCCTAGAAGTTCAGATAAAATATATACCGCAGGTTAGGAAAGGTACAAATAGGTATAGAAAAAGACCTGCATGGTTAACAAACAAAGTAATGGAAGCTGTGGAAAGCTAGTCTCAGTGAGGTTGATAAAAGGGAACACAGGCTATGGCAAATAAAATGCAAGTTTGTGATCAGGCAGGCAAAAAGGGAATATGAGGAGCATATTGCAAAAAACCATAAAGACCAACAATAAAACTTTCTTCAAATACATTAGAAGCAGGAAACCAGCCAGGGAGGCAGTGGGGCCCTTGGATGACCAAGGGGTAAAAGGATTACTAAAGAAGGATAGGGAAACTGCTGAGAAGCTGAATGTATTTTTTTGCCTCCGTCTTCACTGAGGAAGATGAGAAGTGCTTGCCCACTCCAGAACCACTGATTTTGGGAGGGGTGTTGAAAGACCTGAGTCAGATTAAGGTGATGAGAGAGGAGGTCCTACAACTGATAGACAACTTAAAAACTAATAAATCACCAGGCCCAGATGTCATTTTTTAACTTAAATTAAAAAAATTAAAATGATCCAATAACTTTTTTAGAATTGACTGAAGCATTGAAAAAGCAAAAAAAAGGGGGAAGACTCCAGGCCCAGATGGTTGATTGAAGCCTTAATAACTTTGATAGATAAGCAAAATACAGACCAGAAAGAAGAATTATAGACCAATTTTATTATTGAATGTGGATTATAAAATATATGCTTCCATTTTGGCTACAAGGTTGAAAAGAGTTTTGACAAAAATAATTCACCAGGATCAAGCAGGATTTCAACCAAAGAGACAACTACGAAACAATATAAGAACTATACTAAATGTAATTGAATATTTTGAAGTACATCCAGAAAAACGGACGGCTTTGTTTTTGTTTAGATGCCGAAAAGGCCTTTGAAAATGTTAGCTGGAACTTTATGTTGGAACAACTATTGATTTCACAATGTGGTAAAGAATTTTTTACAATGGTTAAGGCAATCTACACTAGACAACAAGCGAGAATCTTGGTCAATGGAGATTTAACAAAGAACATTGAAATACAAAAAGGAACTAGACAAGGTTGCCTGCTTTCACCATTATTTCACCATTATATTTGTACTCGAAATATTAAATGATATGATAACAATATTCATATTAGAGGTCTTAAGGTTAGAGGAGAAGAATACAAGTTACAAGCTTTTGCTGATGACTTAGTTCTCATATTAGAGAATCCAATGGAATCTATCATGCAGCTCTTAAAATCTATACAAGACTACGGGCAAGTAGCTGGTTTGAAAATCAACTTTAATAAAACAAAAATGCTAACGAAAAATATGACTAAGGACCCAATTATACAAAAACAGCAATTATCAGGCCTGGAAGTCAGGAAGAAACTGAAATATTTAGGAATAAATATAACAAATAGATGTAGTTCGCTGATGGAAGATAATTATATGCAACTTATTTCGGACCTTGAAAGATGGAAGAACTTACAAATATCCTTTTTTTTTTTCTTTTATTTTTTATCTTCATTGAACATTACATCCTCACAGATTACATATAATTTCAGCCTATTGTTCATCCATTCTTTTTACCCATACACCCTTATCCATCTTTTATTTTGTACATTATTATTTTTATCTTGAAGCATTAAACTCAAGTCATCCATTTGCGCAAGATCTAACAGTTTTACCATTAAGTCCTCTTTTGAGGGTAGTTATTCTGATTTCCAGTTCTTTGCCAGACGCATTCTTGCAGCAGTTATAATATATGTTAATAAGTATACATCTTTAGAATTATATCTGTTTGGAATCATATTTAGCAGATAAATTTCCGGTATTAGTGCTAGATTTAAGTCTAAAATTTCTTGAATTGCTTCACGTATCATTTTCCAGTAATTTTGTACCTTTTTACATTTCCACCACATGTGGTAAAATGTACCCACATTAACTTTACATTTCCACAGTGGTTGGATACATTATTATAACACTTAGCTATTTTATCCGGGGACCAATACCACCTGTGGAACATCTTATATACATTTTCTTTGTACGATACAGCTCTCATATATTTTACAGATTTCCAGGTTTTAGACCATTGTTCTATCTCTATATTTTTCCCCAAGTCTTTCATCCAAGATATCATCACCTCTTTAATATTTTCATCATATTCATAATCATCCGATAAGAAACCATAAAGTTTTTTAATTACTTTGTCATTTGAGGACAGCCAGATCTTGTTGAGTTCGTTATTTTGGTCTTCAAACCTCTTACCATATCTTTACTATATCTATCTCGGAGTAATGCCTGTTCCCACCAAGATAGGTTATTTTCACGTAACAGTTTCGCTTCTGTTTTTAATTTGTTATTTTTTCTAGTAAAGCATGATAATTTACCTTTTTACTCAATGATATAAGTGATGGTTTTGTAAACGCCTCAAGCGGCGAAACCCACCTTGGAATTTTCTTATGAAATCTCACCTTTATATCATTCCAAATTTCACTTAGGGCTTCTCTTAGCATATGATTTTTAAAGTTAGAATATATTTTCTCTTTTCCATACCATACGTAAGCGTGCCAACCCATAAACAAATCGTGACCTTCGAATGCTAAGATCCTAATATTATCCAACATAAGCCATTCTTTTATCCAAACTAGGGCAGCCGCTTTGTAGTACAGGAACCAGTTAGGTACGTTCATCCCCCCTTTTCCCTTTCTATCCTGTAGAATTTCCCCCTTTATTCTTGCTCTTTTCGGGTACCATATAAATTTTTTAGTAATTTTGTCCAGCTCCTCAAAAAAATTCTGTTTCTTTAAAATAGGAATATTTTGTGCCAAGGATAAGAATCGTGGCAGTATATTCATTTTTATTACTGCTATTTTGCCCATTATGGATAAGGGTATATCTTTCTATTTTAAAAGATCATTTCTGATTTCATCTAGCATTTTATAATAATTATCCTCTATCAAAGAACTACATTTATTAGATAAATTTATACCTAAATATTTGACTTTTTTCACAAAGTCCATCGACGTTGTTTTTTGGATTTCCTGTATAGTATCCGATTGACCGTGTTTCGATAAGAGCTTCATTTTCTTATAATTTATTTTAAGGCCTGCTACATGGCCATACGTTTTAATTGCATCCAGCAGAAAAGTAATAGATGTTCTGGGGTTCTCTAATATAAATAACAGATTGTCCGCAAAAGCCAGTAATTTATATTCTTGTCCTTTTATTTTTAAACCGCAAAAGCCAGTAATTTATATTCTTGTCCTTTTATTTTTAAACCATTTATCTGATCATTTTCTCATATAGTTATTCAAAGATTCTAACACGAAGATAAACAATAATGGTGATAGCGGGCAACCCTGTCTCGAACCTTTCTGAATTTCTATATTTTAGTTGTATCCCCATTTATGGGAATTTTAGCATATTGGTTTTTTATAGATTGCTTTGATCATAGTCAAAAAATACTGCCCACACCCAGCTCTATCTAATTTTTGTAAT